GTAATCGAGAAAAAGTCATCTTGGAAAGCAAGATTTCAGAGTAGGGCAGTTCTTGAGTGATGACATGTTCTAGGCAGTGCTCAGAGGAATGGCTGAAGGTGACTCGTGGTGGAGGAATTCAGGAAACGATGAGGTAGGCTAGTATCCTACGGATACTGTATGATCCATAGTGGACGCTGTATGATCGAGGCTAGAAAAGACAGCGTCTATTTTCTGTTTTTCTATTTTATTGTTTTAAGAAGTATTTGTGTATATGAAGGGTCCAGGCCTGGTAGTGTAAACTCTTTGGAGATAAAGAGCTGGGTGAATTTAAAACGATTTACACATTCACAGTGTGGCAGATTTCAGTGGTCAGGGGGCTGTCCAAGGCAGCCACCAAATACAGGTTAATATTTTCATTCTGATACTTTCACTGAATGACGGATTTGCTGCAGCCACCTCCTTTGACCTTTTGATGCTAAATAATTCTGTTCCTAGAACAGTCCATTCCTTCTCCTCCTCCATTTATTTTTTTTTAAAAGACTTTATTTATTTATTTGACAGAGAGACACAGCGAGAGAGGAAACACAAGCAGGGGGAGTGGGAGAGGGAGAAGCAGACTTCCCGCCGAGCAGGGAGCCCGATGCGGGGCTCGATCCCAGGACCCTGGGATCATGACCCGAGCCGAAGGCAGACGCTTAACGACTGAGCCACCCAGGCGCCCCATATGGTTAACCCTTTTTTTAAAATTCCATTTAGTTAACATACGGTGTTATAGTAGTTGCAGGTATACAATATAGTGATTCAACACTTCTTTTTTTTTTAAGATTTTATTTATTTATTTGAGAGAGAGAGAATGAGAGATAGAGAGCACAAGAGGGAAGAGGGTCAGAGGGAGAAGCAGACTCCCCGCCGAGCAGGGAGCCCGATGTGGGACTCGATCCCGGGACTCCAGGATCACGACCTGAGCTGAAGGCAGTCGCTTAACCAACTGAGCCACTCAGGCGCCCCTCCTCCTCCATTTAAATTTTAAGTTATTTATCTGTAGGTCAAACTATTCCTTTAGGTCATTAGATCGTTTATCATGCACACTGAAAAGAAAAAGGGAGCTAGTAGATGCACAGAAGCCAAATCATTATATTCATGAGCCACAGTTCGGGTAAGCGTGTTAGACTGAGCAGGACTTCACTTTCTAATTTGGGGGGAGGAAAAAAAATCTACACATTCTCATGCTGGGATAGTGGTGAGCATTTTCACTGGCTCCATCCTTTGTTTATATCTCATTTATTCCATTTTTGTACTCTGGATTTCAGTAGTGGTTGTTCAGTAGAGCTGTTTCTCAGTTCATCTTTGCTAAGGAAAGAAACCAAACATCACACACACACACACGCACGCGCGCGCCCTTTAACTTTTTGTCTATAAAAGGCTTCAGAGCCAGAATAATGAACATTTCCCAAAAAGAAATGGGGAGAATGGTAGGAAACAGCTCGGCAAACGGTCTCAGCTAACCCTGAGCTCCCGGTCGGGCTGGTTCAGAAGCAGCACACAGAGTGGAGGGTGAAGGAGTATCATCAGACCCAGCAGGGAAGTCAGAGTGGCACCCCTGCACTGCCCCCAGACGCGGCCCCGGCAGCTCCTCCGGCCCTTCAGCTCCTGCCTGCCTTCTTGCGGACAAAAAGACACACTGATGTGATTTTTTAAATTCAGTGAACCAAATATATAGTTCATAGATAGGTAAGCGAGAGAGAAGTCATCATTAATCCAATAATCCAGTCGTCCCAATAACAATTTAGTGTTAGTGATTAGAGGTGGACTCATTAGCATTTCTCTCTAATCCTATGTTATTCCGAAATCCGTTTCTTTCATGTAGCTTATTTATAATAATGACATTAAAGTAAATTTTCAAATATTATGTTTTTAAAAACTGAGATCTAATTCAGGTACCAGAAAATGGACCCTATGAAAGTGTACAATTTAGTGGGTTTTAGTATATTCCCAGAGGTGTGCAATCACGACCACTAATTCCAGAACATTTTCATCACCCCAAAGAAGTCCTGCATCCATTAGCAGTCACTCCACATTCCTCCCTCCCCCTAGCACCCCCCCCCCCCTCCCTCCCCAACCAGTAATCTACTTTCTCTTTTTGCCTAGTCTGGACATCTCATGTCATGGAATCATACAATATGTGCCTTTTGTGTCTGGCTTCTTTTGCCTCACACAGTGTTTTCAGAGTTCCTCCATGTTGTCGCATGAATCAGTACTTCACTCTTTCTTATGGCTGGGTAATATTCCGCTGTAGAGAGAAACGCATTTTATTGATCCATTCATCAGTTGATGGATATTTGAGTGGTTTCCACTTTTTAGCTATTATGAATAATTTTGCTATGGACATTTATGTAAAATGTTACTTTTTATATCACAGAACAAAATCAGAATATTTTAATTCATGTGTACTGTTAACCTGACAGTCATTATGTATCAGGAAAACTGAGAGGGAGGAATTGGACAAAGAACTAAAAGTTCCTCTGTTGTACAGTGAGCAGTTTGAAGTGTTTAGTTGACCAAGGACCTGCTGCTAACAAAAATTTACAACTACAGCTGGAGAGTTTAAAAATATTTCTAGAAATGCACTTGTAATTATATTTTTGCAATGCAGTTCTTCTAAATGCTTTTTAAATTTAAAGTTACAATGAAATAATTAACTGGTCTGATGTTTTTCATGAGTATAAAAAGTTAGAGCTAACACATCAGCATTTGGAATAATTTTATCAGTGCTATCTTTAAGCAGGGGCAACATTAATTGGCATGCATCTATCACACAGGGACATTTTTAAATGCAGCCATTTCTTGCTGCTTATCTGCTGCATTTCAGTCCTGGTGGATACACTGTATGAAAAGGATGAATGTTAACAAGATAGTCACATACCTCCTGGAGTAAGCGAGCAGGAGCAGGGTAACTAAATGGGCAGGAGAGGCGTCCTGGAGTGCAGCTTGAAGTGTCTGCTACAGCTGTGGTGTGTTTGGAAACAAAAGTAAATTGGTGTGCAGCAATTAGAGATGAAGTGGCTTTTTATGAGCAAAAGCCTGTGAATGGAAGCTACCAAACTGTAAACAATGATAAGCCAGTTAGTCAGCAGTTGTAGCTGCAAAGCAAAAGAAAGGTGGACAGAGAGGAGAAAGCAGTGATTCTCAGACTTTGGCAGGCATCAGAAACACCCAGAGGCTTGCTGAACCTCAGTTTCCCGGGCGCGACCCCAATTTCTGATTTCGTTTAGAGTGATGGGGCCCAAGAACCTCATTTCTAACAAATGTGTCCAGGGACCACACTTTGAGAACCACTAGCATCAAGTGGAACCAGGTTAAAGTTAACCAGGTTATCTTAATCACATCACGCCCATGTGACTAACATAACTGTGTTATCCTTTTTCAGCGAACTGTTGGAGAATGTGCTACCCCAAAATGGGGGTACACCAAGAAAGAGACATGGGATATAGAAAACAGGAGAACCAACACAGGAGGACGGGGCAGGGACATGTCAGGTGACAGCTGTGACCCAAACACCGCACACCCAGACTTAGGACGCACACGTGTTGAGGCTCTCATCATTAGCATGCCCATCACCATCATGCCCGCTTTTCAGTCCAGGGACAGACGTCGGGATAAGGCTGACCTAGATTCTTCTGTGCACTCCTCTTGCCTCGACCATGTGCCGATGAAGTTCCTGTTTTCCTTTTCGTGTTCTGCTGCTGCATCGACTGAGAATACTCATATCACCCCTGAAATGTCTTGTAACTGGAATTTTTCCTAAAAGCTGGAGATGGGCCTCAGGGAGCTTTGAAGCAGAAAATAGAAGCCGCCTGCCCCAGCCATGCTTTTTTTTTTTTTTTACAGGAGATTCAATTTAGTTTAAAGGGAGATGCAGATGTAAAGCAAATAAAATGATATATAAGTCATGTGTGCTAAGGGGTCAGCATTGATTTCCCTGTTCTATGACTTCAGCTTTTTTTTTTTAATTATTATTTTAAAGTAACAACTATAGTTGGCTGCGATGACATTCGAACCGTGCGTACCACCTAATACACGCAAGAGTGTAGATAGTTATTACAAGACAAGAAACAGTTCTGTGTCAAGGAAAGTTTGGAAACCACTTGAATAAATTACTGTAGATTTCTCAGAACTTTCAATGTGCTAATGTTCATTGTTGATCTCTTAAAGAGAGGCACAATACGCATTTTCCCAGTCTTCTCTGACTCGACAATCCTGTTTTCACAAAACATCTTTTAACATCTTAAGGAACACAGTGTTCCTCAGAGCATGGGCTGGGAAATAATGAGTTAGAGTGAAGTGCAAAAAGAAGAGAGTATGATTTTGCCTGAAATGGAGTTAAAATGTTATCATATTTTTAATTTTACAGAAAACAGGTTTAAAATGCTTTTTATTTTATTTATTGTTTCTTGGTGAAAAAAATTATATATGTGTACTCAAATGTTCCATGTCTCAGGTGGTTTGGAGTTCAGTCTCAACTGTATTTGAGCAGTTAGAGAAAGAGATTCGTTTCACAGCTTTTGGGTACTTGTAGTTGGTTGTTCATTTTGCCATAATATTCTTTGTAGAAGAAAAAGAAAAGACGAAGGAATCTAAGTTACAGCTTTCTCACACTTAAATGCCAACTTTTAAAATGCCACCAGCCAGTAGAATAGGGTGTAATACTTTACTTTTCTGCCGTCTCTGTTAAGTGTAGTGTAAAAATATGTTGGGCACAGTTCAGAGTCAAGGCGAATATTGATATTTCTATGTTAGTTTCATTTCCATGGCGGTATTGGTATATGATACATCTTCAGATTTTCTCCACTTCCTGCTTTGGGTTTATTTAGGCTTATTATGAATATTTAACATATAACATTATGAGTAGTATATTTATGTTGAGACCTTACCCATAGGACTTTACATTGTAAAATTATTTTAGCTATTACTCTCATTTGTATGTTACATAAACTTTCTCTCCCGTTTATACCTTTTAGTTTCAACCACCTCTGAAGGAACATCCTCCTTTCCCACTTTATCTGTGTCACCTCCTGATTCAGCCTCTCCAGAGAAGTCTGTTCATCTCTCCTACCCGATTTTGGCGGGACCTTCCTTCTGGACTCTGTCCCATCAACAGTCTTCTGCCTCCTTTAAGGATGAAGATAAGACAGCCAGGGCTCATCACCCCTTAGCTCTTAGGGGCCTCGTGTCTTCTGATGAGGAGGAAAATGACAACCTCAATCTCCTGGAACGTCTTCCAGAGAACTCTGAGTCTGCCAGGAAGCAGACAAGTCCTGCTTCTGGCAGTAATTGGGCAGAGTTTTCCACCGCAAACGTAGACCACTGCACCTCTATGTCCTGTCTGAGTTTTCAGACAACTGAAGGTCTGCCGAAAGAGCCTGAAGGAAACAATTCCATTAAGGTTCTCCTCGGGGAGGTGAAAAATGCCATAGTCAAACTACACGAAGACCTGAGCATGGTGATACGGGAACTTCATGTCATCAATAGCCATCTGGTGAGCATGAGTGGGAATAGTCCGCAACTAAGCAAATCTTCACCACTTCCCCAGTCTTCTGAGGGGACCTCAGATCACATCTAATAAGCTCCAGAGCCATTTTTGGTAGAACTCCTGTGGTTCCACTTCCCAAAGACTAAGTTAACCTCCTATAGATTCTCATTATTATGGGAAAAATAGGGTGGTGGTTTGATTTTTCCTTGTCAGGCTTATTAACAAATCTCTTTCAAACCAATAATCTCATTTGGTTTATTTTTTAAAGAGAAAAGGTATCACCTTTGATAATATTATCAGACTTAGATATGAACTAATGTTCCTTTGAAACTGAGGAAAATTTCATTCTTCCACGCTTTGGACTTTACCTCAAAATATGTTAAACATTAGTGGAAGTTGTGAGAAGACAAACTGCAAATGGCTATTCTAGAGCATTTGGATAAGCAGGCAGTAGGAAGCCCTTCATAGCCTGGCTAGGTGTTTCCTATGGTCTCATGCCAAGTTTCAGATTCCCCAAACCAAGGGCCAGCATCTTTCCCTTCTTGTGGCTGCCACCGTTGGTTAGGGGTTAAGTTGAGACAAGTAGGACACGGAACAGCAGTTTTTACTGTTAATGTATATTGCAAAGTGAATTCAAATGCATACTTTTTTCTTGTATTTGGAAAATAAATTTGATATTTTTCATCTAATATGTATTTTTTTAATTCATTAAGACAGCCTTTCAAGTAGAAATGTCTCAATTTTTATATTTATGGGGAAATGATCTAGTTTAGGGGTCATAGACCAGTGCTTCTCAATCCTACTGCACATTAGAATCACCAGAGATGCTTTTATTCCTGATTTATATTAATTTGAAAGGACAGTGCAAGGGCTCCGTGTACCCATCACTCAGTATCGACAATTACCAACTAAAAGCTAAAATAATTCCTGATTATTTTGAAGAAATATGGGACATTTCAAAAATATTCTAATGCTGGGTGCACTCCCAAGCCAAAACTGATTTTCACCATGCAAACTGGGTTATGAACTAGAGGGAACTGCTAGTGGAACTGTTAGTGGGAAGACTGAACTGGGAGGAGGTTTGGCATATTTGAGGAGGGGCAAGGAAGTCACTGTGGCTGGGGTGAAGTGAGGAAAGGGGAGATTAGTAGGAGATTTGAGGTCATGGAGGAAAGAGCAAGGAGTAGTGCCAGATGATACAGGTTCTAGAAGACCATTGTTAGACATTTCGGCCTTTCCGCTATGAAATAAAAATTGTGACAAGGTTTTAGGGCAAAAAATGATCTTAGGGCTCTAAATGATCATGCTGGCTTTGGGGGAGAGATGGATGCAGGGCCATGGGGTGAGAGGCAGGTAGGCCAATTAGAAGGCTATTGCAGTTATCCAGGTAAGAGCTGATGGTGGATCAAACCAGGTTAGGCATAGTGAAGGTACATGAGAAGTGATTTGTTTAGGGATTTGCTGATAGGTTGGATAAAATATATGAGAGAGAAGAGTGACAGCCAAACCCAAGGTATTGGATGGAGTAGTTGAAATTCAAGATGAACTTGCTATCAACTGGAATGAGGAAGGTTTCAGATAGGGAAAATGTGGAGGCATTCCGTTTTAGACAGGTTAAAATCTCAGATATCTATTAGGTAACCCAAGTGGAGATACCCAGTAAACAACTGGATGTGAGAGTTGAGTCAGAGAGATCTAGATTGGAATGGAGGCTGGGGGTTAGTAATTTGTGGTTATTTAAAGCTATGAGACTGGATAAAATTGCCAAAGGAGTGAGTGTGATAGTGGAGAGAATTTGAAAGCCTAAGCCCTGAGGCATTCTAACAGAAGAAGATCAAGAAGAAGTTGAGGAATCAATGAATGAGGCTGAGAAGGAGCTACCACTGAAGCAGGAACAAAACAATGTTGTGTAGTGTTTAGAAGCCCAGGGTGTTTTTCTCTTCTTGGCCCTTTCCTCTTCTATATGCATTTCAGAAGCACCTTTCCAAGTTCTTCCCAAATCCTATTAGATTTTTTAAAAAGTTTTTATTTAAATTCCAGTTACTTAACATGCAGTGTAATATTACTTTCAGGTGTACAATATAGTGATTCAAAGCTCTATTTGATTTTGATCAAAGTTGCATTAAATTTATTCTTCAATTTAGGGAATTTTTTAAAATAAATTTAATCTTCTAATCTAGGAGCATGGTATATCTGTATGTTTCTATGGGTCTTGTCTTATAAATTTTATATTTAGTCTTCCAATCCATGGGCATGGTATATCTCTATGTTCATTTATGTCTTCTCTTAGTGTTCTTCAGTAGATTCATAATCTCCCCCACAGAGGGCTTCTATTTCTTTTTTAAAGACTTAATCCTTCCATGCTTGATATCTTTGGGCTATTGTAAGTGCTACCTTTTTGCTAGTTTTTAAATTTTGGAACATAACAGTTGATAGAAATCTAAATCTCCATCAAGATTCACTAATAGTTAACATGCTACAATGTTTGCTTTATCTCCCTCTCTTGCTAAACATGTTTATATCTTTATTATGTAGACAGGTAAATAGGTACACACATGTGTTGCTGAATCATTTGAAAGGCAGATTCAGATATCCTGACACTTGGCCACAGAATACTGCAACATACTTACTACATGAATCAGGGTGATGATTTTCCAACCTACCTTCCAGTTAGTCAGTTCTCTCTTCAGCTGTGTCTAACCTTTGTTAAATCTTCCCATTCAGTTTTTAATTCAGTTATTCCTCTTTTCATTTCCAGAATTCTACTTGGTTCTTTTAAAATATTTTAAAATATTCTTTTAAAAAAACTTTTCATAGGTCCAGGTTTCTTGCATATTTTCAAGCATAACTTTACTAGTAAGAATATTAAGCAAACTAGTATAGACTTCTTACTAGTAAGAATAATAAGTAAACTAGAGAGTATTCTTACCAGCAAACTATCAAGAATATATGCATTTAAGGCTATAAATTTCCTTTTACTGCAACCCACAAAATTTAAAATTGAGATATAATTCACATACCATAAAATTTACCCTTTTAAGGTATATAATTCAGTGGTTTTAGTGTATTCACAGAGTTGCACAACCATCACTACTATCTAATTCGAGAATTGTTTCATCACCACAAAAAGACACCCCATACTCATTAACAGCCATTCCCCATTTTCCCCTCCTTCAAGCCCCTGGCAACCCCTAATCTACTTTCTGTTTCCATGAATTTGCCTATTCTGGATATTTCATATAAATGGAATCATCTGTGGCTTTTTGAGTCTGGTTTCTTTCACTTAGCATAATGTTCTGGAGGTTCAATCATGTTGTAGCATGTATGTTGTAGCATGTATGAGTTCTTCGTTCCTTTTTATGTCTGAATAATATTGCATTGTATGGATATACCACATTTTGTTTATCTATTCATCAGTTGAGGGACATTTAGGTTGTTTGCATTTCTTGGCTACTATGAATATTTGTGTGAACATATGTTTTCCATTCTCTTGGATATATATCCAGGAGTAGAATTTCTGGGTCATATGGTAACTCTTATGTTTAACTTTTTGAGGAGTTGCCAAACTATTTTCTGAAGGAGCTTCACCATTTTACCACAAGTATTGGTATGTAGTATTTTCAGTGTCCTTTGGCTCAAAAAATATTCTAATTCCTTCATGAAGAAGTGTGGAAGTATATTTCTTAACTTCCCAGCATTTGAACTGTAATAATTTTAACATCTCAAGTTTTTATATTTCTGCTTTTGTTATCTATTACCCTGCTGATTTGTGCTCATGATGTTCTGTTTCCTTGTGTACCTGATTATCTTTGACTATGTGCTACTCATGACACTTGAAAATGTATTTATATGATTAATACAAGAATTTGTTTTTGCTTCTGCCAAGTGCCTGGTGCTATTGCAACACCATACTGGTTAGGTAAATGAAGCTTGAATTTTTCTCTAATACCCAGGTTAATCCCAGGCTTAAATTCCTCATAAAGGATGGTTCATTTCTAATTCACTCTCATTGCATACCCAGTAACTTCAGATTTTAACTAGGTTTTTTGTAGCTCATATATTTTAATTCAACCATTTTTTAATTAGTATAATTAACAAGCACTTCTTTGAGTTTCTATTTAGCCAACTCCATTAAATGAATAGAACAAACTTGGCTTAAATTAAGAACGGGTATATTCTGATTGACTTCGTAATTATCTCAGATTAAAAATACATCATTAAATGCTATTAAATATTTTATTTGAGACTTGAGGATTTTATTATAAGGCAGTTATGAAAATATTTTACAGTTTACCTATTGTCAAATTACTCATGTGTTCATCCTTTAGATATTTATTAAGCGCTTACTATGAGTAGGCAATTTGCTAGACATTGGGGACACAATGGTGAACAAGATGGGGGCAGTCCTGTCTTCAGAGTTGCCGTTTCGTGGGCAGAGTGTGATATGTAAGTCCTAAGAGTTTAGGAAGCAGGGGATTGTGTGGGAGGGCCTGGTAAAGAGGAACAACCAGCTCTGATTTAGGTGAGGGTCAGGGAGTGCTTCCTGGAGAAAATGAAGTACAAAGTGAATCCTGAAGGATAAGCAGGAGTTCATCAAACAAAGAGAGGGGAGAGAGAGAATTTTCTAGGCAGAGAGAACAGCAGGCACAAAAGCTGGGAGCCGGAGGGGGAGCTAGGTGAGACTGAGGATTGGACAAAGCTGGTAGATCAGAGATTTGAGTGCCTTGGTTTCCCTTCATGCAGAGACGCGGTGACGGTTACTTAGTATTATGTAGTATTAACCGACTGAGTAGCAGAAAAGGACTGAATGACAAGGAAATGGATCATATTGAACATGAAGTGTCCTAGAAATTTGGGGGTTTCCAAAATCTATTCACAAACTGATAAAAATAGACTTTATAGGGTTTTTTGGGGTTTTTTTTGTTGTTGTCGTTGTTGTTGTTTTTTGAGACCTTGGTGACTTATCTTCCTCACAAATGGGATGGTTGTGACAGTGGTTTGCTCTGGGTGTACAAGGAGATTCTTCTTTGTGTGCCTTCTTTCTGAAGAGAAGGTGAGTCCTGAGCGCAGCCTGGTGAGTCAGTTACATGCTCAGATATGGGGGACTGTTTTTCTAGGTCTCACTGTATTCTTAATATAGTGGATTCTGAGATGTGATAAAAGGATTTAGATATGTGGAATTGAGAGATTTTTCTTTCTTACAGAACAAGTAATTTGAGGAGGCCCAGCATATTATTGTTATGCCAGAATATATATACCACCTCTTATCAGCAGGCAGGCTTAGAAAAGAGTAAATTGGCTCAGAAGAAACCCAGTTTTCAAGATGATTTTGTTTGGTAATTTCAAATTCTGTTTTCTCACTGATGGTGCAGAAAGTTCTCAAAGATATGGTAATTATTGCAGAATTATGGCTTCAGGCGTTCGCAGCCATTCACACAGTGAAATTCCATTATAAAATATCATGATCTATGTGTTCAGTTGCACTGCATTGAAAACTTGTCCCCTATACCGTGTACTGCATCATTCCTATAACACAGAACACCAGTAGCAAAATGCAGAAAGTAGACATTCTAGAACGTGCTGATTAATTAAAAACAGAGCGTGAGAGAGAAACGCATCAAGGATGAGCTCCAGAA